GTGGTGCCTCTTTGCTTCTGTGCTGCCAGGAGAGAACCTCCTGCAGAACCTCTCCTCTTGCAGGAGGTGCTGCTGATTAAAACATCAATACCTTGGTCAAGGCTCTCACTTTGAGGGACTGTGGCTTTCCTCAGAAAGGTTATTAGGATTTTTCCATCCTTTGATGGGAAAACACAAGTTTCTGTGCTCAGCATTTCTCTGTCTCAGAGAGAAAACACATATTCATATTTACAGCATCGTGCAAACCCCACCATGGTCACAAAACCTCTCTGGGCTGGTTGGAAACCTCTGCTCTCAGTGCCTGCTTCGCTGCAGCTGTTTTCTGGAGAACTCTTAATATTTAGGATATTTTCATAACAACACATTTCATTTCTCAGATTCCTGGATTTGTAGGTCTCTCCTCAGCCCAGCTGACCTCTTGTGACACAGGCAGTGCATTCCTGGGTGTTGTGTAAGGCTCGAGGTGGGGAGCAGCAAGGAAGAAACATTAAAGATGCCTGAAGCCGGTATTTACTTGACTTCCAACTAATGGATGCCAAAAACATTTTCAAAGCAATATTTTGCTACTGCAAGTGGTGATTTTAATTCTGTTGCCTCCTTTAATTTGTGTACAAAGTGTCTCTCCCACTTCTGCCTGTGGCAAACCCCAGTGCAGCCCCGGAGCCTGTGGCTGCCCAGGAGGAGCCAGGTGTTTGTGGGGAAAGTGAGGCAACCTCTGGCAACAGATTCCAGCTGTGACTGAGACATCCTCCCAGTTCAGGGAAGAAGGAAAGGGTTTAAGTGTTGTTTAAGAGCCTGAGAACCCTTGCTTGAGACTGTCACTGCTGTCCCCTCCCTCGTGCCTTGGATCCCTCTCTGCCCTCTCTGTGGAGCCATTTTTGGCCAAGTTCAAGCCTGTTCCCTGCAGTTCTGTTCAGCTTGACCAGGACCCCACGTGCTGAGGTTTCCTTCCTCGTCTCACTGAAGAGTGAGCTCTCCTTTCACAGCACACTTCAGGTTTGTGTCTGTTTTTTATGTAAAAATACTTACCTGAAAATACCGGGTTTCAGGGAAAGCTTGACTAAATCTTTATAAAGGAAAATAATGTGAAACCCTGAGCTAGTGGCTGGTGGAAGGGAATAGAATTTCTTCTCAGTAGCAGAGTATTTAATTGGATTTTTGGTTTTTCATTGCCAGATTTCTGGTTTTGACTGTTTCATCAGTTGCATTTGGTTTCTTCACCAAAATTCAGCCTATAAAAGAAAGATTCCCACCTTCAAATCACTGCATAAACACAACTGCTGACTTCAGGGACTCCCAGTCAGCCAACACAGGCTGGAGTTGCCCAAAGTGGGGTGGGGAGGAAACTTGTCGGTGTTTCCTTTGCCAGTGGCAGAAGGCCAGGCTAGCCAGCAGCAAGCACTTCATGGAAAGGTGGAGCCCCGAGCTCAGGATTGTTCCAGGCCTTCTGGAAAGCAGGAGCTCTGAATTAGTGCCCAGCTCTCACCATCCTCAGCGAGGAGATTCCAGGGAGCAGCCACAGCTGCCCTTGCCAGGCAGGATTTGATTCCACCTTCAGCCTGTGGGATGAGGCCACTTCCCATGTGGGCTCAGCTCCCCTGATGTGCTCCTGTAAATGATCCATTACATCTTGGACACAGCTGGGCACAAGTTCAAATTCAATCCTGCCATCTGCCCAGAGTTACCATCCTCAGGCAACTGGAGTGTGTTTTTGTAAGCCTTAAGTAAACATGACATTGTCCATGTAAGCAATAATGTACAATAATCATTTTTGCAGAACTCACCCATTTCAGTGCAAATCCAACACTGGGCTCGTTTCTCCTCACATACAACCAGTGAAACAAAAGCTCAAGCAATGTTTTTCTGTCTTTTTTTTTGGTTATGGTTTAACCAGTGGCTTATTTTATTTTGTCCACTTAGTGGTTTTACTTTTAAAATAGGAATTTTGGCCTAGAGAACATGCTCAGTTTACTAATTTTTCTATCTTACAGTGGAACATTTGGGATTTTTCAGTTTGGTTTTAAGACAAGAAGGTTTCTAGTACCTAATTGACACAGATAAGTGTGACTATCTTAGGAGCCACTGTTTCATATTTCTCAGGCTTGTGTGAACATGGGGTTAAAATTTACATTTCTTCCATGATCTTTATCATGGAGCAGCTTTAGTCTAAAAATTGTCTTTATTTTCTAAGGAGCAGTTTCTCCAATCTCTTCTCTGGGGCCGTTTCCACCTTTTCCCTGTGGCTGGCAGGAATATTTCTTTATTGCAGCTCCTGGAAAGGGTTAAGCAGGGTTGTGCTGCTCCAGGGCGGGGGCTGAGTCCTGCCCCACCCGGGCAGGGGAAGTGGCCGGGTCTGCAGGGACAGGATTCCCACAATGCGAGCTCAGAAGGGACCATTGTGAGCCCCGGTTGCACTGAAAGAGCCGGAAAGGCTCCATGGTTCAAATTCAGCATTTTCAGTTCCACTTGCAGGCCGTTAAAAGCTGCCCCAGTGTCCGGGCTGTGCCTCTGGAGCGTGGGCAGAGCTGGAGCAGGAAGCTCCGGGGGAATTTGCTGCCTTGGAAAAGCTCTGTCTGGGCTGCCCTTGAGGGAAGGCAGCAGCTCAGTTCCTTTTGGAAGTTTTTTGTGCTATATTGGATCCATGAATCAATTTCCTGATTCCTCTTATGCAGTTTTTAAAGTGGTGTCCAGCAAAAAGCAGATTTCTTTCAAGTACACTTGGTCCTATTTCCCTTTGGATGTTTGGGCTATCATTTAATAATATTTATCCATACTAAATGTATTAACAAATGCAGAAAGAAGTGAATTATTCATTCAAGGCCCTTTTGTACCTTAGTGTTTCTCAGTAGTATTTCAACTGGTAATTTGAATAATCATGCATTAAACCCTAGTTGTTGTGGGAACCACAGATTTTTTTTCTCTTACATATTTCCATCCTTCCTGTGCTGATATTGAGTCCAACGTTAAAAACACCAATACCTATTTATGCCCAAATAAATAAATTGTATCTGTAGCTACATTGCCAAACACCTACTGTGTTTAAAACATTTTTGGTTATTGAAGGTTATTTTTAATTTTGGTGAGTTTGTTTTATTTAGCTCTGTTTGTGGGTTGTTTTTTGGGGGTCAGGGTTTGTTTTGTTTTGGTTTTTTTTGTGGTTAAATAAATGTTCTCCTATTCATGAAATGTCTGCTATAGTTGGAGTTCTTGAATCAACTTCCAAGTGAGCTGCACCTGTCCATTCCAACAAACAATAGTGAGATTTGGAGCATTGTTCCTGGGTTTATGGACATCCTGTGGGGACTTTGCCTACAACAAGCAAGGTCAAGGCCACTGATTCTGCTGTTCCTGTCTCTGAGCCACGGCTTTGTGCTGACCTTTGATCTACCTCTTTAATTGTAATTGTTAATGAAATAAAGGCCTTCTTCCAGGCTCTATTTACATAATTAATTTTATCAATTACATAAAGAACTACTCCTCCAGCTTTTAATGTAATTGGAGGTGATGATTATTTGATAGTGGCTGTTCACTTCCTGTCACTTTGACCCTCTCCACATCCTGGGGAAAAAATAAAGGAATCCCATCATAGATTAAAAAAATGAAGGCTTGGTTTGGGAAAGGGTGTGAGAATTTCAGGACTGAAAAACATTCACAGGAAGAAGCTTAGAGATGCCTAAAACAATTCCTGTCAGCCCCTGCTCCAGAGCAGTAAGGGATTACAACAGCTAAAATTTGAAATTTTGCTTTGGGGTTAGACATGTGTGTGCTGTGTTCCTGACATGGCAGAAATTCTGCCATCAACCAAACAAGGGCCATAAATAAATAATAAATATCATAAATACAAATAAATATAAAAAGAAAATCACCTATCACTCATAGGTGCACTGAGCACCTGCTGTGTTTGCTTCATGCTCAGAACTATGAATACAGAGAGATAACATAAGGTTATTTCTGCAATAGTTATTTATTGCTACAGCCCTACAATGACCCAGTGCTCTCTTCCCTGTTCCTCAGGGAACTTACCTGTCCTTAGCCTTTTGAAAAACCCTTTTACCTGTTCTGTGAAATGAGGAGGAAAAGCATTCCTGGGACTTGGCCATGTTTTCATGGAGTTACCTATTCTCATTTCCGATACTGGAAATTCTGTTTGGGATCTGTTGAAAACACCAGGGGAATTTATTTCTGTGTTGCTGAACATCCTGTGCCTTTTGGAGGAGGGAGAAGCTCACCATGGTCTCCTTTCCTGACCCTTTGTTCCTGCAAACTCGACTTGCCTGTGCTGTTTGTCTGAACTTCTTGTGCAATCTTTCCTGCAGTTTCTTCTGTGAAAATACCCAAATTAGACAATGGTTGAAAGTGGCAGAAACACAGCAGAAAATCTCTTCTGGCCAGAGTGGGCCCGAGCTCTGAGCTGCCATCTTTTGAATGAAATGGCACGAAAACATGAAGGTGCACTGTGAAATTTGTCCATTTGTCAAGGGAAAAGTCCTTGAGAGTGATTCAACTCTTTGAATTTTTGGCCTGTGGGATTATTTCTGTGGGAGAACAGTGTGATATGGGGCAGGGAATGGCAAGAATTCCCAAAGCTCTCCCTACCATTAATGAAAAGCTAACAGAGGCAGAAGAGAGCTCAGTGTTACAAGGTAATCTTTAATTCTACCGTACTCTTTTATTTTATTTTAATTCAGTGGGTGCCTTCCCAATTCATTCCATCCCTTCTCCTGCCAGGAGGGAGCTGCAGCTTCCCAGGGCACCACCTTGTGGTCGTGGTAAAATTTGTGCAAAAAAGAGCCAAGTTCTTAAACTGACTTTGGAAATTGTAAAATGTATTGTACTTATTATATCAAATTCTAAGTTCTTACATCTGCAATCTACCAGCCATCCTCATCGCAAATATGTTTAGATAATTAGCAAGTTAATTAATTTATAACTTGGAGAAAAACAGGAGTGCTTAATGAAATGGTCAGAAAAGGATATAGCTACAGTATATAGCAAAAGTATTGAAAAATTGGCATTTATTAGATATATTAAATAAGAATACTATGAATATATGAATATATTCAGATTCAGTTCTTGCTATTCAAACACACACACACAGACACTCTGCTCTTAAGACTGAAAAATAATTCCAGCACAATTGTTTACATACTTCAGGAAGTTGATGGAAGGTTTTCCAGCTTGGTTCTTTCAGAAAATCTCTACTTCAGACCATTTAAACAAAGAAATCAATCACAGATTGGTGTAACTGGAGATAACTTGTTCCAGGGTTGTGAAGCAGTCCAGGAAATCTTCCTCTTGGATTCCAAACTTTGTGTACTGGTGAAGGTAAGCTCTGTGTGTTGAAGAATGGGTCAGACATTAGAAATCAGGGAAGATATTGGCAATTATTAGTGAAGTACCAGCATAATTATTTTCACTTACTTGGAAGCAAACATATTCCAAGCTTTTCCTACGATGCTGTCAAGAGGTTTCAGCAGGAACTGGCTGTTGCTGACCAAAGAAGCAGACTTTTCATACTTGTTAAATGCTCTGGGTGTTTTCCATGCATTAAAAGCATCCTGAGGGTTTAGCCATGATGTGTATAATGAGGGATCTTGGAAACTTCCTGTAGGAGAAACAGGAAAGCCCTTTGGACAAAACCCAGACTTGATCCCTGTGTGGCCTAATCAATGCTGTCAGATCAGTTCAGGCCTGGGAAAATATCTGCAGAGTGGGCGCCTGTTGAAAATACAACTTTCAAACAGATTCCTTGTATTATCTAGCAAACTGGTGTGAATATTTCAGCTGCCAGAAATGCTCATCACTCCAGAAACAGCTAAATGTATTTTCAGACATTATAGCCAAGAATTCCAGATATACAGACTTGAGTCTCTTCCTCCTTCCCTGAAGTGCTTCAGCAAACTCAGAAGTAAAACACAACAGCCCTAAGCAATTAGACAACATGGCCTTGGACAGTAAAATGTTTCTAGAGGGAATAGCAACCTTAGGAGTCAAATGTGTGGTTTTGGGATGTTTCCACTTGCATCAGATCTGGTGGCAAATACAGCAGTGAGATGTGAAACCAGAGCCCCTGAGGTGCTGTGCTCCTCTCTCTTACCCAAGTCTACGCCATGCACATCTTTTCCTCTCAGGATCACCAGGTTGGCAATGGAAGTGTTGAAGTGCAGGGGTTTGTTTGTGGAGGGGGTGGAGGAGCCTGGCTGTGGTGGTCGTACTTGCCAATCAATACCTTTGGGATTTGGGAAAAAGAGATAGAAAGGCAAGTGAATGTTTTGTGAAGATGCAGATGGGAACTATCACTGTGCCCCAAACTGAGACCACACTGGAGTTTGGAGCTGCTGCACATGAATGAAGCAGCAATCACACAATTCCCAGAGAAAACCACTGCTAATCCAGCAGGATTTGCCTGGCATTCACTGTCAGAGAAAATGGATACCTGCTTCTATACTTAGCAAGCCTCCAGCCCATTCCTTGCATAACTGGGAGCTGTAACTGAATTCTCCATGTAAATTACATGGGAGAGCTGAGCCTGATTTTTATGGGTAGAAGGTGTAAAAAGAAAAAGCAGAGTTCACCATGCAAGGAATGTTCCAAATGAGTTATGTAAATTAAGCGCACAGTCAGAAACTGTTGGTTTGGTTTGTGTATTTTCAGTAGTTATAATTAACTGAGATGTCTGGAAGCAGACCAGGAGCGATCTGGGAGCTGCTGTGACAGCTGAGGGAATGGTGAAAGGAGCAACTGGTTTTTATGGGGGCAAATTCCTGCTGAGGGCAGCAGCTCTTTTCTGAACTGTGAGCTCCACAAAACATCCAGCTTTATTCCATCTGTACAAATAAATGTTTAAAGGGTGATGGGGACTGAAGGTGAGTGGTATTTACCTTCCTCCATTTGAGCATTAGCAATGAGCATCTGCCTCAGGTGTTTGATGAGGCCAGGCCAGCTGAAGGTGCTGTAAGCCAGGGAGGTCTCAGGCACCTGGGGGATGTTCCGCAGGCCCAGCACCCTGAACTCGGGATGTGGGACCAATGTCTCCATTAAATCTCCTGGAAAGAGAAATCAACAGCTGCACATGTTTGACAAAGATACTGCACAGGGCAGCTGCAATGGGAGAAGAGTGAGGAGTGTTCAGAGATGTAGCAATTTCAAAGCCATACAAACTTGCTGTATATTACTGAGCTCTATACAGGCTGTTAGTAGCTTTTATTTTGCAGTTTAGATCAAAATCTCAAGGACCCTCTCTGCACTCCAGACAGATGTGGAAGTTTAATTTTACAAGCAATTTTCTCTAATTCTTTCAAGGTTCAAATGTTAGTCTGCTGTATGTTGCCACCCAGTTGTCTGCTCACCTCTTCTGCTAGAGCAAAACTCCAAACTCTCAGTTTGTTTCAGTTCATGCAAACTTCTAACCCAAAGTAAAATGTGAAACTCGGTACAAAATTACTGCCCTGCACAAATCTCCTCTGAAATGTATTCAGGCACAAGGGTGTCTGTGATCACTTGAAAAAGGAGAAACAGGGTTCTTTTGGTAAAGAATAAAAGAAGTCAGGGTTTGACTCTGCTACAACATGGGGATTGAACTTCTAAATTGGTCTTTTCCTGTCTTAAAACTTGGGATGTATCCAAATACTTGATATTTGGAGACTGAAAAACTTCCACTCCCAGCTGAACTGACTCCAGAAAGGTGTGTGGATGTTTGGTTTGGTACCTAATGGGTTTCTGCTGTAGCCCGAGCCCCCTCCTGCTGTGTGAGTGGGCTGGAAAACACTGCCCAGCTGGTGAGCAATGACTTGATTGACATCCCTGAAGGAAATCTGTTTGATATTCATCAGCTGGGCACAGATCTTGTGGATGACATCATTCTCATGGACAAGAAGGGCATCTGATGAGTGGTACAGATGTGACAGAGTCAAAACAGAGTTGTAGTTTTGAACAATGACCTGGAAGCAAACAAAAAATCACACACAAAGAAGAGTCAAACAACTCAATCTCTTTTTAGTTTATAATCCTCTGGCTCCTGCTGTTTCCTCAGTTATGATTTAGGAAGTGATTCATTTTCTTTGTCAGAGTGCAGAGTGAGGTCAGGAGCTCAGAGCCTTTTCATGGAAAGAGGGCAAGACCTGTGAGAATCAGGTTATCCATCTCTCTCCATACAAACATGCTGGAACCAGATCTGCCTGGGAACTGATTATAATGCTGGATAAGAGCACATCAGGAGATTTCTAGTTATATACAGAGCTTCTTGAGAATCTGTATCCCTTCAGAACTTAAATTATCAAGAGTTTTTGGTGAAAATTCTTTAGCTGTGATACTGAGTCACTTGAACTTTTTCAGTGTACAATGTACCCATTTTCTAGTTTATTTCTGTTGTAGGTGTTTTGTTTAAAACTAACCAGTGATTATAAACTTACAAATTCTATGTAAACTTATTATATACTAAAAAGCAATATGACATTCACCTCCCCAGTGCCATAGGGCCAGATCACGTGGTTCAGTATGAATGAGGTTGGAAAAGCATCTCTCAAACACTGGGTCACAAATGCTCCTAGGCCTGATCCTGTGCCCCCAGCCATACTCATGATCGTGAAAAATCCCCCGAGTCGGTCACATTTCTCTGCTTCTTTCTGCACCAGATTCATGATTGCTTCTTTGTGTCTGGGCCCATGAACAGAGTAACTGTGGGGTAACACAAAACAGCAACACAGGGCAGGGTGCATCCAAATAAAAGCAGAAAGGTGAAGTTATTTACAAAGCAAATTTTACTTTAACTCCCACAGCTGCCGTATTACCACTCCTAGGGAGTCTGAGCAGCTCATCAGCCTCCAGAATTCCCTCATGGAAGCTTGAGGCAGCTGTTCCTACCCATTGGCCCAGTTGTTCCCAGATCCTTGCTTCTGGCAGAAGTGTGAGTGGCTGTTGTATCTCCAGAGGCCAGACCTGGCAGCCATGGATAAGGTCTGGCTGATCACTTTGGGCTCCATGTCAACAAGCACAGCCCGAGCAACAGGTACTGCACAGGAAGGAAAACAAAATTGGGGAAAAGGTGTTAATTATGTAGGTGGGATGGATGAGCTTGGATGGATACAATATCCCAAGGTTATCCCTCCCACCCACTTCAGCCAAACTATTAATGGGACAATAGAGAAAGGACCTGGCCGTGCTCTGATTTCTACTGAACCATTTATTGCGCCAAAACCAAATCTGAACACCAGAGAGCACTGATCTTTCATGAAATAAATCACTTGATGTTTCTGTGTGCTGAAATCAGACCCTGAGAGGGGAAAAAAGCCCTTTAAAGCTGTACCTCCAGACTCCTCCTCGCAGAAGAACCGTTCCTTGCAGGCATCTTGGTAGGATTCGTTCTCCTTCTTGGAACACAGCCCATGGGTGCCACGGATGTCACTGCAGAGAGCACTGAACACCTCGTGCCCAGTCTGGTTCCCACACTGCCCAAGCTGCACTGTGACAATTGACATCCTTATTCACTTGATATTTAAACCTGAGAAAGAAAAGTATTTATTTTCTCAAATTTGCTCGGTAAAGCAGGATGGGAACGAGTAATTATAACTCAAGAGTTACAGGACCAGAATGCAAAATTGGAAATCTTAAGCCAGTTCAAAAACGTAGCTATTTTCCAATTGTGAACTGCACCAGGCCTGATGCCAGAGCCCACTGAGGTGACAAAAGGATTCCCTGGAGAATTCCCCTTGCTTCCACCACACAGAGCAGTGTTTGACTCCATCCTGGTATGTTTTGACATATTTCCCCCACTCAGCATTTGACAGCAGCTCTGCTTTCTCACTTTTCTATTCTTTCACAGAAACAAGGTCAATTTTTTTAAACTCTCTTGGTTATTCTGGGCTGCTGTTCCCCACTCCCATCCCAGCCGTGCCGCAGCACTCCTGTACCAGCATTCCTTGGATCGCTGCCCGTGTCTGTAACGCGTTCTGCAGGCAGGTGCGAGCTCATTGCCGCTCCCGGGCCCGATTCCAGCGCTGCCCCCAGCCCGCGTCGGGCCAAGCCGGGCGTCGCTAGGAGACCGAGTTACTCCTCCCGCAGAAAATAAATATGTGAACTATTGTCAGGAAAGGATCACGTCCAAAGCGTACGATACCGACCCTCCCGTGCCCGATTCTCTCCGCGGGGAGCCCCGCTCGGGTCCCCGCGGCCACTGAAGCTCCCTCAGGGCCGCTCTCTCCCTCAGGGAACACCGCCATGTTCCCAGTGCTGTCCGCTCTCACGCCCCTCGGTCCCGAGCTCCGTCCCCGAGCCTTTCTCCTCAACAGCCCGTCCTGAGGTCCCGATCTCGGTCCGGGTCCCGGTTTCGGCCGCGGCGGCCTCTCAGGGCTCACCTCATCCCCGGCACCTTCGAACGGCCCGCCTGGCGCAGGCGCACAGCGCGCTCCGGGCAGCCGGGCCCGGCGCTCCCGCCCGCGGCGGCTTCGTGGCTCCCTCTGCGCACGCGCCGCCCGCGCGGCTTCACCGTGGGCTCTGCGCAGGCGCCGCGCCGGGTGAGGGGCGGGCGGGCGCGCGCCGCGCTCACCGCGCAGGCTCGGCGGGGCCGGGACGCGCGCTGCGCGTGCGCGGCGGGCGCGGGCGGGGCGGGAGCGCAGGCGCGCTGCGGCCGCGCAGCCGGTGATGGCGGCCGCGGCGGCGCTGCGGGGCGCGGGCCCATGAGGCGGCGCAGGCCCCGGGCACCCGGCGGAGCCAGCGAGGGGCGGCGGCGCCATGGCGGGAGTGTTCGACATCGACCTGGACCAGCCCGAGGACGCGGGCTCGGACGAGGAGTTGGAGGAGGGGGTGAGAGCGGCAGCCGGGCCGGGGAGGGAGCGGGGGAGGCCGCGGGGCCTGAGGGAGCGAGGGCGCGGGAGGCGCCGCGGGGCCGGGCGGGGACTGCGCTGAGGCGGCGGCGGGAACGGGGCGATGCCGCCGCTGCTCCCGGGCAGAGCCCCAGACGCCCGCGCTGCCCCGGGACATCCGCGCCCGGAGCGGGCCGGCAGCTCTTCCCCGCAGAACTTCGGCGTTGGGATCCCGGCACGAGCGCCGCAGCGGGGGTGGTTTTTTATTATGATTTATTTATTATCACATGTCCGACCGTCAGTGCAGAAGTGCCGATCTTTCTGGAGCCGTGTAAAGTCGCTGCTCTCGCGCCAAAATGAAGAGCAGAGGTTTAAAATGCTGCGTTAGGCGGGTCAGCGGCTGTTTGCAACTCGTGCTTTCGTGAGCAGCTCACCTGATAATGGGCAGTTCGCAGCTCGTGATGTTCATCTAGATCCTGTCAAAGCTTTAGGAGGATTTTATTGCATCATCTCTGTTTATGTTTTTCTAGATCTTCTGTTGCTTTTTGATATTGTTTTGTACATTAACCGTTTGCTCTTGCTTAAACTGCCAGTGCATTTATTTTCTGCTCTTTAAATACTAATGGCAATCTTGAAGTCTTTGAGATCATAGAATTATGGAACAAATTGGGTTGGAATGGACCTTAAAGATCATCTCAGGCCATGGGCAGGGACACCTTCCACTCTCACAGGTTGCTCCAAGCCCTGTCTTTGGACACTTCCAGGGATGGGGCAACCACAGCTTCTCTGGGCACCCTGTGCCTCACCACCCTCACAGGGCAGAATTTCCCCCTAATATCTAATCTAAATCTCCATGCTCTTGTAAAAAGTTCCTTCCATGTTTGCTGTAGATTCTCTCCAGGTACTTCCCTCCAGGAGATAAGCACATATTCTGTTCCCCACACTCCATGGAATCTGTAAAGACGTTGTTTGACAACTGAAGGCTTGAAAGCTTCTCAATCTGCAGGAAAAGCTCTGTCTGTCACCTCAATAATCAATAAAACACTTGGCTTTGGAAAACCGCTTGCATCACCCTGTTAATGCTGCCAAGAACAGGTTCTGAGTGAGGTGGCAAGAAAGTTGAGTTTGTGCTCTCTTGTGTTCCTGTAATTCAGTCTCAGGGAACAATTAAACCATTGTGGATTTTAAAACCTTGCCATGACTGACATTTTTATGGACGTTGGCAACCTTGGTTGGTCTCAGGTGCCTTTTGGCAAACAGATAAAGGAGGGTGAGAATGGGTTTGAGATGAAAACAACCCAACAGCAGGAAATGTCAGAGCAAGGAATGAGGGGAACATCAGGAATGTGTAAGGGGAGCGACATTCCAGTGGAAGTTATCTCCACAGCTTGTGTGTCCTGCAAGGCTCAGAGGATGCAGCCAGAGCAGTGGAGATCAAGGAATGAGCAAGGGGGACTCTCAGGACTGTGTTGTCACATTTCTGGTATTGGTCCCTGGTATCTCCCAAAAACTGAGTCCAAGAGGAGCCCAGAGAGCTCAGTCATGGGTTTGAGTAGGCAGAGCCATCCTGGAAAATCTGAAGCGTTGTTTAGAAGGAGTTTCCTCAAAAGCCATGTGGTTGTTTGCACTAATTATTATGGTGAAAAAAACCCTCAGCCTTCATTTAGGTGTTTGTAATAAATGAAACAATGTATGGACTGAAGGGCTGGTGGCTTCCCACTGCCTTTCTTAGTGTTGTGAAATGAGAAGAAACCCTGAAAAAATACCAGAATGGTATCTGAAGTGAATTTTGGTTAAATTAATACTGAGTATGAAACCCAAAGTTCACAGGAACAAGAGCAGCACACATTAACTTTGCCAGAACCATTGGGTAACAGGAGGAGTTGCTCTGGTAACTGAGGGGTGTTTATTCTCTGGGTTGAATTTTTTAAAATTCATTTGTTGGCATCTAAGAGTGGGGTCAAGGGCAGCTTTAGTGGCTTTTATTGTGAAACATGTCAATAAGCTGGATTTCTCTAGTAAATGTCAACAGGAGGACATGAGCTGGCAGCTCTCTGAGCTGGAAACAAACCTGATCTTTTGGACTCCTTAATTGCCTGTGGTGTTAGTAGGTGGATCCAAGAGTTAAATTCCCCTTTAGATCACCCGAAATAAACCAGCCTCTGTAAACTTTAACACTGAAACTGTTGAAAGTTTTGAGTTTTCTTTGGTTAGTGTTTTTTTCACTTGGATAATATTTTAAAATGCAGTCCTTGGCTTGGGCTGTTTTTTTCATGTCTCAGTGGGTTTTCTTTTTCTTCTCTGAATTTCACAGGTCACTCAATATATTTATATTCAGCCTGTAGGTTTCAGGCTGTTCACCAGGAACTCACAGTTGTTATTTCATGTCCATATTTTTAAAAATAAGAACGTGACAGTACAGTCTGGAGCTCACTAGAAGCTTGCCCATGACATTCTATTTGTATTCATTACAGCTGTCTGCTGCCTTTGCACTTCTTTTGCTGTGCAGAGCCACAGCTAGAGGGAAGGGATCAGGTTGAAAATTCTTTGAAGGAAATATCTCTTCATAATTAAACCACATTCCTTAATGGTGACTGGTTCTGATGCTGAAGTGCAGGAACTTCAGTACTGATTGTTGGTCAGAAAATGTGTTTAACATCAGAGTAAAGTTGAATTCTTTCACCATGACTAGGATTTGACTTGCCAATATAAAATAACCAAACTTTCTCAGTAGATTGTTTGTTTCCAGTGCAGATGAGTCCCAGTTCATCTGTTTACATAATCTTTATTATTGGTCTTATTTGCATAGTACTGCAGTAGGACTCGAAAATTTCTGTGTAAGAGGAATTTTAAAGAAAATTGCAGCACCTTAACATTTTTCAAGTTCACTTGGGGGTGTGAAATTGTACACCCTCTGATATTTAAGTGATAGAATAACAATGCAGCCAAGTAAGACAGTGGTTCCCTGTGTCACTGTTTGAGACACATGGCAGTACTGCAAATCTGGCACAGAATTTAGTAGATTTTTTGATCTTCTGCTGATAATTTTTTCTTCCTGACCTATTTAGAGATTTTGTCTTTTCAAACTTAAAAAGTTATAAACCACATCAGTGCATTTATTTTTAATGCTTTTCTAATTCATCTTTCTTCTACCCTTCTCATCCCCAGGGTCAATTAAGTGAGAGCATGGACCATGGAGGAGTTGGCCAATATGACCTGTAAGTTGCTGCTAGAAAATATTCTGTATCATTCATGCCAATGACATTTAACTTCTAATTCTGTTCCATTGTTAAGGTAAATAGAAAACTTTGTCATTCCGGTTCCATTTTGAGCCATTTTTAGATGTTTCACTCTTTCCTCACATTAAAATTTGTTAATTGTATCTTGAAATAAAATAATAAAACGAATTATGGTTAAAAGCTGCTGTTTGTCTTTTGATCCTTGTTTCTCCTAACAAATCTCTTGCCTTTGAATAATATTTGTAATATGGATATAATGATATAAAGAAATATCTGAGTCAGTTTGAGGTTTTCATCCTCTAAACATAATTCTGGTGTAATGCAGAGATGTATTGTACATTAAATTAAAGGGGTTTGAGGAAATCTTGATACCATAAATCCCCAAAATCTGCAGGTAACCTTCTCAGTGCAAGCAGCAGCTTTGCACACAATAAACAGTAATTCCTGGTGGTGGGAGCTCTCCAGGCCTCCCAGGCTGTCACTGTTAGGTCAGACTTTCCAGGCAGGCAGTGCTTTCATTTGCTCAGTTCTCAGGTAGACTCACAGCCTTGTTCTGCTTTTCTGCAGTGGGATGGAACATTGTGAAAAATTTGAGATTTCAGAGACCAGTGTGAACAGAGGCCCCGAGAAGATCCGCCCGGAGTGCTTCGAGTTACTGCGTGTGCTGGGCAAAGGCGGCTATGGCAAGGTCAGGAACCCTCCAGCACCAAATCCTTCACACCCTCAGTACCCCCTGCTTTGCTCTGATTTCCCCCTCTCTGAAAAGTCTGAAAAGGGTAGAACCATCCCAGCTGCCAAGGTTGGCACCCAGGTCCCTGGCAGAGCCTCACCCGCTGGAAGCAGCAGGGAATGTCCCAAACTGCGTCCAATCCCTGCCTCTTGCCTTGTAGTTCGTGGGTCATCTCCTCTCTCTTTATTGCATGGCTTTGATTTTTAGCTTGTGGCAGTTAATGCAGCTGAAATATGTGATTG